CCTAAAATGCACTCCTATCACCTATATCTGCTTATACAACACACAAACAAGTCAAAATACTAATTAATCATCCAAATCTTTAATCCCATACTAACTTTCACTTCACCCTCGATTAACCTCTAAACTTAGGATTAAAAAATTTAGGATGTTACACATGCATTCCTAGTTGACAACATATAATATCATATCACTAAGTTTATGTACACCACTCAAACAAAATCAAGCATTACTATCATATCACTAATCCTTGCCCAATTTCTTTCCCTGCTCAAACTCAATGGTGGAACTTGTAAAATAATAACTATAAGGTGAGATAAAAATTTCAATAACTAAGATAATTTACAAAATTGATTAATATGTCAAGTTATAGAAAATCTTTAAAACATGCATAACAAACACAATAAATACAATTCGCCATAACAAAATGCATGATCACTAATCATCCAATCCTCCAATACTCCCGACTGAACTAGTAGGCTATTTCACGAAATCAAACCACATGTATGGTCCCTAAGCTCATCATTCATGGTAGGACTACCCGGCCAAGGTGTCCTAAACCACTTCAGGACTATAGGTTCCCCCTATTACAAGTAATTGGGGTGTTATTACTTTAATACCACATCTTACGAATGCTAAGGAGCATAGTCTCTAACTCCACACCTTTTTAGGTACTAAGGAGAGTGAGTCTCCAACACTGCACCCTTTTCTAGGCACTAATGAGAAATATGAGTTGCACCTGGCATCTTGAGGTGCCAGCAGTACCATATGAACTTCATCCCTTCTAACTCCACTAGGATGACCTCTCACCCTCTAACATATTATATTTCACTACATATCTTTACTTGACCATACATAAACCACTTTCTAAGAAAATATAACAAATCTTACCATTAACTTTAAAAACATGAAATTTTTACAAATCAATACTCCACTCATTTTCTAAAATAGTTAACTTTTACAAAATTTATACATATATAAATAACAAATCATAAAAGAACAACTTGAGAATAACTTATACAATGTAATAAATAATGAAAAGTATCTAGTTACCTCAACCCTTTTGTTATTAAAAAGGGGTTACCCGTGGTACTAAATCTCCTCTTGTGTCAAGGTAAGTTTTTTCACACTAAAATCTACATCAACAAGTACTGTATGTTAATTTTCAATTAATACAAGCACTATTAGATATCAATAACATCTCAATTATCTCACTTCTCACTTATATTCTCAACAAAAAGGCTTATCAAGATTACAATTTTTCCACACATCCCCCCAAGCCTCCCTCTAACTCTATCACAACATAATACTTAATATCTCAACTTATCTCACTTCAAAACCTCATAATCAAGCTAAGGTTTGATCCAGCTTTCACCAAACAACAAAGTAACTTCATATTACCACTTATTCAAGGTTAAGAAACTTACATCAAACCTTTAGAGTTAATTGAAATCTTTAAAACATAGACTCATAGCTTAATCCATTCAGAGTAAATTCTCTCACTTCCAAATTCCATGGAAAATGAGATAAAAAGGCAGACGAGAAGGGTGGGAAACTTACTCAAGAGTTTGATAGCCCAATTTAGCTTCAAAATTCTCTCAAATTGATGCCCTAATAGTTCCCAAAGCCTTTCCCTTCGTTTCCTAGGTCTTTCTCCCACAAAACTGCCTTTTCTGATGATCTTCATTTTTTATGTTTTTTGCGCTGTGTGATGCACAAGCCACAGCTCACGACATAGCGAGTAAAATGTCAATTTTTTCTCCCCTCAATGCCACCTAATTTGATCTAACTTCCATCCTAACTCAATTTAAAGCCAAATATGACCCAAAAAGCTAATTAGCAACCCAAAAACATAATTAAACTAATTAATCATCTTTTTAACTAATTTATCCCTTAATTAGTCAATTTATTCTAAATTTAAAATTTTTGGATGTTACAATAATTCTATATCTTATGATACAAATGTCCAATTACCCCTATTTTAAGACTTAGTTGTAAATCTTATGATGCCTTTTATGTAGAGTAAAAATGTCAAGGACGTAAGCAATGAATAGATATAATCTCTTGTACAAACATAATATTGTTACAACATGCTTTTGTTTCCAAGATATGACTTGCTAGTCTTTTTTAAAGCTATGCCATCCCAACTAGTTTAGGTACATAATCCATACAAACAGGGCATGCTACAAATATTTCAATATCACATGCTACAAATACTATTGTTCAGATTATAGCACCAATCACATTATAACTTGACTCCTTGCCATTTTTCTTCTCTTCAATGTTGGACATAATGGCTTGTGACATTATGTTTAGCTTAAGTTTTGATGATGACAAATATAGATGAATTAACTATACTTATGCCTAATTGTTTTCATATATATATATATATATAGTAGTTAACTATGACTACGAAATAAGTACTTTAAAGTATTTTTACTTATGTTATTCCATATTATATTAGATTTGAAAAAATAATTTGTGTGCATCAAAGTTATTTTATACTATCATATTTTTTCTTATCTTAAATTGATTCTATATCTAAGAGTGCTCATAATATTATATTTCATAACTTGACTATATGCATATTGACACTTGGACTAACTATTATATTCATGATATATCATGTAAGGTTGTCCAAAGTGAAGATGAGAATAAGAATGAAAAGGAATAAAGTTAAAGTCATCATTTGCATGCTACACTTATGATTGAAAAATATAAAGATAAAGAGAATGATGATTCAAGAAGAGCTAAAGAAGAATGAAGACATTTATACAAGCTTGGATGCACCTTGAAAGCCTTGGACTTGATAGGTATAATATCATTAGGCTAAAAGTCTTTATGTTAAACTCATTGATTTAAATATGAAATATTGGTTCAAGATATTTTAAATCAAAACATGTATTTTAAGCTATTAAGAGAAAAAGTTAGATGTATTTTTCTATAATCATATTCTTCATCTTTAATCATATATATATTAAGAGCTTTTAAATGTTTCGATTACTTACTTCATACAATTTTCAAAGTTGTTTTATTTACTCAAAATGGAGTTAAGTTGAAAAGGTCATGAACACTTGAAATTTAAGCTTCAAAATGGCAATTGTGCAAAAAATTAATTTTGACCTTTGGTTATGTTTCTTATCATATCTCCCACTACATATATCATTTTAATTTGAAACATATCTCATTTGAAAATAGTCTCCAATAGCTTTTCAATGATAGTTTATTTATTTAAAATGGAGTTCTATCAAAAAAGATATGAATTTTAAAAGTTAAGTGTTGAGATATTGATTTTGCTTAGCATTTAGACTTGACTTTCATTCACTCTTTTGATCATATCTCAAAAGTTACATTGAATTTAAGTGTGACGCTTCTTTTATTGGAAACTAGACTTCAAGTTCTAATGATATATACTTTTTTCAAATTTAGAGTTGTATTAAGTGAGTTAGAACCTTATGAAATTATATACAATGGAACCCTCTAAAACATACGTGATTACATCTTGGTCATAAGCGTGAAACATCTAAAAAGAGCTTCAATGTCCAAATCACACATGAAGCACCTTGTATACATGCGTGAAACGTCACCCAAAAGCCTTGTTTTTTATTGAATAGCTTCTATTGTCTAAAACACGCGTGAAACACTTTATACACATGTACGAAACATTCTCCAAAGCCTTGTTTTTTTTTGTAACACTTGCCCCGAGTATTAACAAAAGCACACCACAACTAAATAATCTAAGTGTAGTTAAAGAATTGATCCTAAAAACTAAAGAAATAACCCATTTAAATTGCCAGACAATCTATACAATAGAAAAAAAACATTTAAAACCTCTTATAAAGGTTTGGAAGATTACTATATAGTGCACAAAAGCAACTTAGGCAAATAAGGACAATTAGTTGCTGTCATGATAGCATTAGTTTTGCTATCATAACAGCCCTCCCAGGAAAACTTTTAGGAGGTGTTGATTCACCATCTGGCCTTCGATTAAATTGATTTTAAAGCTCACATATTAATTTTAATGAGTACTAGTAGTGTTACAAATTTTACAAAGATCCAATAGATAGATTAAAATTTGGGCACATTACAAATTTGGTATTTTTATTGTCATGACAGCACATTCAAACCAATTCCAGAGATCACTATTTCATCATCTGACCTCCGATTGAAGAAATTCTAAAGCCCACACATCATATTGAAAGAGTACTACAAGTCTACTAAATTTCAAAAAGATCCAATGGTTGGATCAAAATTCATGTGCATCCCAATCTCAATAATTGTTGCTGTCATGATAGCATCTCCGGACCAAAATTCAAAGCTCGCTATTTCTCCATTCCGATCAAGGTGATTCCAAAACCCACATGAAGATTATAAAAATTTTTACTTTTGACCCAAATTTTTTTAAAAAAAATCAATGGTCAAATTGAAATTTAGACATCCGGATGCAAAAGTAAAGCTTTTTGATAAAAATCATTTTCAAAATTGTCCAAATCTCATCCTAAGAGTCACAAACTTCTGTGAACACTTTAGACACATCAAATACGACTTAAAGTACCTAATAGAACATTTAAATGATAGAAAATTTTTTATATTAAAATTTGACCACTCAGGTGCCATTTCTTAAAATGGATCTTAAGCCCTTAAAATTCACAAATCACACAAAAATGGCCAAGAATGAATTCAAACACTATATAATTATATAAATACACATGCTAAACATTTTCACTTAGCTTAGAGATCCCCATGGGGCTCACACACTTACTCTCTCTATCCAACGTGTGTGTTTGCCTATAGCATACGATTCGCAATGCAACCACTTTGTATTTTCTTGTAGAATCACATATATTCATATTCATATCAAAATAAACATTTGTTTACGGTGAAAGCTAGTTTGCTAAATGAATCCATTAAAACTACACACTATAACCAATTTTCCTAACTACAAGTCTACAAGTAGAAAAAAATTCATTCACAAGCACACAATCCACGCATATTCACATATATATATATAGTCACATCTTACTGGCACCCTAACCTAAATACATTACATTGTACTTAATCAAAAGAAAGGGGTTGCAGTTATTTACAAATTACAAGATAACCCCTAGCTTTTCTTCTTTCCTCATCTACTACTAGATCTTTGCTTGAACCTGAAAATATTGAAAAGAAAGGGATGAGACAACCACAATCTTAGTAACAGAAAAATATATATTCATTATTATAAAGGAAGCTACAGTTGAATAAATGAATAATAGATTAAACATAACATATAATTTAATCATTTAAAATGCATGAATGTATGACATAGGCCAGTATGACATTTCCTGACTAATAGAATGCCCTCTGGCACTCTTTAGCTTGCAAGTAAATCTTATACCCACTTATACCTCTGTAAGTGCAGAAAATAATCTAAGGCATGATCAAATCCACTTAACCGCCTGTGCTCCTTTAACATGAATCCTGAGCAATCAAAGCCAACTCCTTCCCAAAGCCAACCTGACTTACTCTCCATGTAAGAGCTACCTTGGCCTAGGCACTCAACCTCACACTTCATATGTCAAATTCCCTCCCCCACTAAGAGGTGTCGAACACTCAATCTACTAACTGCTTTAGTGCACTGAGCTCACAATACGAAAAGCAACATTAAACACTGGCAGTGTGCCATAAAATATCACAAGTCCACACCTCCTCATTGGTGAACTCCTACCGAGATCATACCTTTCACTCTTATCTACCTTTCTCAAGCATTGATCACTTCAACACTCTAAGATAATATAACAAATATCACCCCTCCCTTAATCAATTCCTTAGCCTATCTAAGGTACCTAACCCAATTACACTTCCTTAAGTGCAACTTTCATTCTAAATAATTACAATGCATGTAAACAACCTCATTTCCATAAAAACATTATTGATAAACAAAAAGAAAACATATATGCACTATCCCCATAAGTCTTTATAAAACATAATTAATTGCATTTAATCATTTAAAAATATGTAATGCATGATAACTAATAATATGTATTGAAAAATAGCTAAACAAGGTAATAAAAAATATAAATTCTCCTGTTACTTCAACCATTTTATACCAAAAGGACTTTCCCTTGTACAAAATAAAACTTAGCTTATTCCTTATCCTCCAATTAAGTTCCACCAGTAATTCCCTACAACATATAAGTAATCCACATCATTTATCATGGTAAATAGCATTAATGAAGACTATAACTCATACCACACAACTTGGTTCAGTGAGTTATAATCTATCCCAATAATCTATATATTAAACCAACTATTCACATAATATTACTTAACCACCAAAACCATTTATTAGCCACCACTAGGCTAATTTTCAAACCGTATAATTTTTAATCACCCAAAAACCTTCACTTAGCATTACCAACTTTCACAATTAGCTATTATAATGAAAACCAAAGCTTAATTTAAATGTTAATGGCTTTCGATAGCATGATTATAAATAAATAAATAGGCTTAAACCATTGAAGAGTGAAATCCAATCCTTAAGGTTTAATTTTTGCCTTAAAACTCCTTTTTTTCATCTAATTGCCCACTCAAAACATTAAGGCACCATATAGAAACTCAAAACAACCTCCTAAAGACTCAAAGAAACTAAAGCTTACAAGAATAAAGCCTTTGGGATCAAAATTCTGAAATTTTCTCTTTTAAAAATTGAAGAAAATCAAGAGGGAAAGAAGTGGATTGAAGTAAAGAGCTTACCTAATGCGTAACTAAGCTCACAATAACCGCAAAGCCTCTTGAATCTCCTTTCTTCCTCCTCCATTCTCCTCCTCTCACTCTCTCATTCTCTTATTCATTTCTTTCCTTTTCTTTTTTGTTTTCATTTCTACTGTGTTTCCCTTTAAAAAAAACTGCTACAACTATTTTGGAAAAAATTACAAGAAAGGGCCCAACATTTCTTATTATAACACAAAAGCTTGGGTCAACTTTGGTATTTTTTTCATAGTTAAAAATAAAATAAAACCAAACTTTTTCTTAGTAAAATTTGAACTTTGGACCTCTATCAAATTATTCTTAATTTTAATTTAATTATAGATATTTTATTTTAAAATAAATCTAAGCCTTAAAATTTTTGGGATGTTACATTGGTTGACTCAATGGTATCAGGTTCAGCCTTAACTTTACTAAGTAGGAGAGGGTGGAGGATCAAACTTAAGGAGGTTCCTTTAATGTAATGGGTGTGGGGAATAACCCATATACTATGATGAGAAAAGTTAACTGGTAGTCTGCCATGAGGTGGCACAGCCCAGTCCTCCACTCATAATAGTAGGCTCAAGGGGAGTAACTGTTACAGTTTTTATTCTATAACTTCTATGGTCATAGCACGCTTGAAGTACTTCCTATTCACACGTGATTTGTCACCTAGGAAATACCACATGACATTTCAAGTGTGATTTATCATGTCTCAAGTGAGATTTGTCACCTTTGCTTGTGAAAACTCCAAAACACACATGAATAAGCCTTGGTTCCATACAAGATTCGTTACCAACAACTATAATCACTGTGCAACAACTATAAACAATCATATGATGTCTCTATCACTTGTTTCACTCCATAAGCTATAAATATAATACTCCAAACTTATCTTAATAAGCAATTAACCTCAAAAATCATCAAGATATGAAATTCACAATCATATTACTCTTATTATATGAAAATCATTGTTCTTGAGTCAATGTCATTTATATCTTCATCATTTAAGTATTAAAGCTTCATTATACTCTCAAAGAGAGTTTCAACTGAGTGATCTACATATTCTAAATCATTGTAAAGGTAAGGGAGAGATTTTTTTTTTATAATCAAGAGAGGTTGTTCTCTTGAAAAAAGAAGCTCACTAATAAAGTGAGTTGATGAAAAGGCTCACAAGTGCCCAAACCAAACTTGTAGTTGTATTGTGGTGGCAAGCACTCACTTAAGCTTATGTTATAGTAAAGAAATCTCAAGTAGTTTCTTGGAGACTAGATGTAGGCTCAAGTGATGGAGCTAAATTAGTATAAATCATAGTTTGCACTCTCTCTTCTCTTAACTCTACATTTTCAGCAATCTTAGTTTATACAATATTTTAATGTCCAAAATATAATTTGATATACTTATATACATCTATTCAAACTTGCACTTAAAGATTGTTTTTAAACATTCTTACACATATTGAGCTTGCAAGAATAACTTTAGCATTCTTACACACAAAGTTCAAAACTCAAATTTGTCTAAACTTTCCTTTGAACATAGTTTTGCTAAAAAAATTTAAAAGAATTGAAAATTTTCTTAAACATCCAATTCATCCCTACATTAGGTGTCTTGCCATATCTAAGATTCAAAACTTCCTTTGTCTATCTTTCTTAGCTTTTGTTTAATGATAGAAAATGAGAGAACACTAGAATAAGGGAAGAAAGGAAATGATTAAAAATGGTTGAGTTGAGTTGTGGTAGAATTAACAAGAACATGACACCTAACCAATTCCAAATTCCTTGCTATTATTAATTATTGCCACTTAATCCTTTATGTGTCTTTATAATTGTAAAATGGTGACAACTAATATAATTTATATCTTTGTTAGATGAAATAATGGAAAATAAGAAAGCTGCCCTGAAAAAGAAGAAATCTGGATATAATATGTTTAAGAAAGAGTTCTTTAAAAAAAATGAAGGAATTATGGAGAGAACATCCTCAAATTTCCCAGGGCTATATCAAATTCATGCTCATGCCTTGCATAAGCAATATGATCAAGCAACTTTAGTGCCTCTTCCTTATTGTTCCTTCTCATTCCCTACAAACTTTGTTAAACTCAAAGCTAAAATTCTCCTTTACATGTTGATAGCAATATGCATGTCTATCGCCACCAAATATGGCTCTAATAATACTAACAATAACATTATTTCTATCAGAAACAATAGTTACGTATAGTAAACCAATGATATCTATAATATTGTGCAGAAACTAGGTCCAATCATCATGAGTTTCACTACCAACCATGGCAAAGGCCAATGGAAACAAGTCATTATCAGCATTATATGTTGAAGCTACAGTAAGGTACCCTAATAAGGACCATTGAGGAAACATCTATCCACATATAAAATTAGTCTAGCCCCAAGCAAGAATCCTTTAATGAAACAACCATATGCAATAAATAATCATTTAAATCTATTGTTCTTAAAAGCCACCCATTTTGCTACAGTGTCTGCATCAATCTCTATTAGTCTATTGCGCAACCAAGGAACAAGCATATATGATTGGTCAGAAAGACCATTTATTTCTACCAATTCCCTCTCTTTCACTCTTAAGGCTTGACGATAAGTTAGACTTATGCCATAATCTCTGTATATGTTAGCTTTTATTTCATTGGGTTTTTTTTTCCACATTAGACCTTACTATGTCATCAATTATAAACAATATAAGTGTGCACCTTGTACTATAAGAAACTTTAAGGTCTTCTTGGGTAGAATGTGAGTGCTCATTCTTGAAAGTTGTTACACAAAGTAAGGTCATTAACTTCCTTAATGAATATTTTGTTATCTTCCATTGACATTCTTTTGCCTTGCATTCTGCAATTATTTTATTTATGTTGTTCTTCACAAATTTATATTCAAACTTATGTGCAACACTATACTTATAGATTGCTTGTCTACAATCATTAACACTCACAAAAATTTGTCTAGGTTCTACTAGCAAATCCTTCTATTTTGTTACATTTAGCTTAAGCATTAGCATTGGGATACTTTATATTGCACATGGTAGAACTTCAAGATCTTGTCTAGCATGTGAATTCCAATTGAACATCTTGCTATGCATTTTCATTTAAATCATGTTTATTACAACCATTAATATTCATATTAGCAAAATAATTAAATTTAAGTAATTGTTAAAAAAACTTACCGATCAATTAGATCTCTTGTTACCTCTGTACTTTGCTGTATCTTCGCAATGATGTACACATGAGCAAAATTATCATTCAACTTCATTAATTGATTTGTCCCTTCATTGTCTAAAAATGCATTGGAATCAAACATTACTGTGTACGTCAACTCAATTCCATTTAAATCACAATTCATGCATGATGAAATCAATCTAACTAGTTCTTCAAGAGACATTCCTTATCTGATCATTCTTCCATTAT